TGAGATGAAGACAATTATTGTAAATACCACATTCCCTTCTGTGACAGAAAAGACACAGATAGAGGGCCTTCAAGTGATTCTTCAGTGTCTGGTCTATCCCTTCTTCACATATTTTTCATTATCATTGGCTTCATTTCCTGTCTTATTCATGAAAAACTTCCAAGAAGCAGTGCAGTCAACCACAAGATCACTGACTCAGGTCAATGAAGACACATCTCTTTTTTCACATTTATTTCATTTTGTTTTAAGATCACAGAAGAGCAGAGCATTCATACGTGTAAAGTAACAGAAGAGAGAAACTGAATTCAAATACATTTAAAAAGAAAAGGAAAAAAGCTTTTTAAATTTTAATTATTTTTAAACACACACTTGCGCTTTTTATTTTCCTTCACAGAGCTAGTATCCAGGGAAACCGCCACCCCCCCCCAATAAACAAATATTAAAAAAAAAAAAAACCTGAACAACAAAAAACCCAAACAAAAAATGGCCATGAGTTTTTGTCATCAAGGAAAGTTTTGCTTATGTCTACAGGGATGGAAAAAGGAATATATTCATATATATATATATATTTATATGTATATAACACTGTTAATAAGGAGAATTCTAACCAACAGTAGGATTTATACACCCTTCAGTAGAGCAGTGAGAAGGACCTTCAGTAGAGCAGTGAGAAGGAAGGGGTGAACCAGTGCCGGGGGAGGAAGTTGGAGGTTTTCTCCCATGCTTCTCTCCTTCTGTAATTTCCACTTCACCCTTCTCCCACTCCCAGTAAATACTTAGGGAACAGAACTTGGTGGTAATTCACCAGGATGAACCTTTAACATTCTCTAGTAAAGAACAAAGACTAAATAAGGGAGTTTTTGTTTTTTGTAAAGGCTCCAAATAGCTTAGAATTACTGCCGCGTGCCAGAAAGCTAGTGGTCCCAAGCGTTTTCTTTGTTTGCAGGAAACAGATTTTCACTCTGTGCCTGGATTTACATAGAGAAAGCTTATGCAGAGAAGAACATAGCTGTAGGAGTTGGTCCAGGAACATCATTCAAACACACCTCTGAAATCACCCTGGAAGTGGGGAGTTGTCCATGGGCAGGTCACTTTCCCACTTAAAGAGAGTTTCAGATCTACTCTAAGCACATTGCATTGCAAATTGTCATCTATATAAAGTGATACTAATGCTGGGAAGTTATGAATAATCCTTGTTTTTCAGTGCACTGGAGACATATTATTTCTGTTCTCTTAAGCAATGCATGAAAAGCTACCATTGGACAGACGCTAAATTGAGTACCCAGGATAGTGTGGTGCTATACTTTGATGGGTCAAGACGAGTGCACCTGGGCTCAGGCCATCCAGAACATGGTGCATGATGGTAATTCCTCATTAACCACCTGAGAAACCATCCTATTTACCCTCTGCTTGGAGTATTTAACTTTCACATTTGATTTTGACCTTCACAACTCATATTACATTCAGCTCTGTAACCTGCTAAAATGTGTTTATTTTTGTCTTGTTTTCAGCTTGTTTCTTTAGAATTGTATTGACTTGTATTTTGCGAACATGAGGTTTGTTTTCTCTCCATCCATTTACTTGACTACATAGCCTATAAGTCAAATTTAGAGAAACTTATGCCATTAGATGTTTCTTTCAAAACAGTGTCTTATCTTGCTCTTTTCTCCTAGAATAGACTTTTGAACCTATCTGGGATCACTTGCTTATGGCCACCTGCACAAGCAAAGAGGTTTCAAGGACAAATTTACTATCACAAGGCACTTGGCCCAGGAGAAGACTGATGTTTCCTTTCCCATCACATGAACAACTTCCTCACTAGTTATGTGACCAATACCTAGTCTGGCTATTTTCTCCCTATGAAAGATTATTAGAATATAGTCCAACAGTTAGATTTTATAACATTTCAATTAAAGAAACAACTCTAGCTCTCTCAATGCCATCAGTATAATTTGAATGTGTCCCTTCTCTACGTTACTAAGAAATTTTGATCAGGAGAGAATTATAGAACCAGTCCAGGGAACTTGTATTCTAGAAAGTTTTGGATTTTGACATGGAGATGATGGAAGGATGGTTCCAAGAAGTGAAGATCAAACTAGATCAAAGAGATCAAACCAGAAATGACAAATAGCTGCTTAGAATGATAAGCTGGGCATGGTGCTACATGAAGATTCAATTCTTATTCAGAATCAGAGAGTTTGGAGATGGCAGAGGTTTTAGAGAAACTATTCGAATTTCTCACTTTCAGGGTAAGAAAACCAAAACTCAGAATGTTTAACTAATTTGCCTAAGGTCATATGACTTGCTCATAGGCCAGACCTGGGGCTAGAACTCATTTCTCCTGACTCCCAATCCGCTTTCCACCTACTTTGCTTTATAAAGTTGTCATTTGTCTTGGGTAGAGGAGTATACTTTAAGCATAATATTAATTTGACCCAAATTTCTTTCAATAACAATCTTTGCAGAAAATTCATGTGGTCCCTGAAGAGATCTCTTTGATGACTCCTTATGTACCAGCTGTGCTGATCACAGAAGTCTTATATATGTCATTCTGTTAAACACATCAGACACTTCAAAAAGACTTCAAGGGAACACGCTGAGAAAGATACTCCCAATGAAAATGATTCTGTCCTCATTTGCAATAGTCAGTATAGAAATATAGGAAATAGATCCACCAGATTAAGCAAGAATAATTCTTTCCTAGAGTGATTTAGCAAGATATTTCTCAAGAACATAACATTTTTCAATATCCCTTAATTTCTTAGGATTGAGATGATGAAGAAACTATCCCAATGTTTCTGTTGAATGGAAAATAAAGACTGAGTAATACTGTACTCATCAAGGTGACTTACTTTCCATGGAGCTATTGAAATGAGACTTTTTAGGTTGTAAGTAAGAAGTAACAACAACAACAAAACACTTGACAGTTGATGTAACAAACACATGAGCCCTTCAAACTCTGTCCTCCCTGTCTCTTCATTTCCCTTGCTCTGGGGTCAGGTGGGACAGCTGTGGTAAGTGTTGGACGAAAATCCTGACTTCCTAAGTCCTAAGTCAGTACTTAAGTCCTGAAGGAACAAAGAGGTTACCTCTTGGGAACAGAGTAGGATGCGCGCCTATAACAGTTCTGTGGGTCTGCTTCCTTTTGCTGAGACAACCTTATGTTTGGGCCATTAGTCTTCTTTCATCCCAGTCTGACCTGTGACAGGCTTTGGTTTTTATTTATTTTTATTTGATTTTTTTTCCTTTCAGATTCATATGTTTAGTTGAACTTGGGGCATTGCATGAAAAATGAAGTTTACATAGTTTATATTATGTACACAAACTACTGATTTACATTGATTTACACATGATTGGTGCCTAATTTATTAATCAGCACACAGAATGTAAATGCGTTGAAAGGAAATCAAGGTTTTAAAATAAGTTTTCCATAATATCCATAAACATTTACGCTGGTGTAAATGTTAAACCAACACCTAACATTAACACCAGCTTGCTTGTCAACGGGTTAGTTATGCACTGGTTGCTGGGTGAAGATAAATTCTTTCTTGCATATCACTTGGCCACATTTAACAACATAGCTGCAAACGAGAACAGTTTACTTCTCTTCCACTGTATGCACATAAATGTAAACTTCACTTTGCATTTAGTGAGACATTTACAGATATTATGCTAGTTGCTATAGAAAATTTACTCCACTAGAGCAAATGCACTAGAGAATAAATATTTTAAGCATTTAAGAAAGAAGGAGACTTCCTAAATTGGATTTACTCAGGGTCTTAGCTAACTGTTTCAGTGGTATATTTAATATTTGTCTTCAAAATATTAATTGTAGGTCAGATACAGCATTGCACTTCTATATCTATAAAAATGATACTTATTAGAAATCAAGACTAAATACAGGTTGAAAAGTTATGAAGTCAAAGAGCTAAAATAAGGTCATGGTTATTCCCATGGAACATGATCCATAAGCAAATTCCTTTCAAATAAATCATTACAGTGTGGAAAAATGGGGTTCCACATCTTTCAAAATGAAGTATAACTCTTTTTAAAAACCAAATTCAGTATACTTTTCTTCCTTTTAAGTTTAAATCATTATTCTAGATTTGCTTTATAATACATACAATATTGCAAATATAGCATCTGTAAAGATAAGGTTTAAAAAAAATACATACACATATATATATATATTTCCACAAATAATTCAAGACCTGCAAAAAACAAAATGGGAAATTCTGGGATGCAAGCCAATAGACACATTCAAACCACAACCAACCTGGGGATGGAATCTATGATTCTGGAACAGTTAAGAAGCTAATAACTCAGTAGGTAATAACTCAGAAATATTTTCATGCTGAGGAGTTTAGTTTTTGTGTGCAAAGGAGGTAAGTCCACTTTTGGAGGAGAAACAGATATTTGTTTCTGTCCTCCAAGAACATGAAAATCACGAGTACTTTTACAAGGTCTCTATGAATAGCCCAAATTGTCTGAAGATGTAGTAAAAAAAAAAAAAAGGCCCAGGGCAAGGGTGATGTCTGACTTGGAAGAGAAGGCAAAGGTCAGTGGGACAATTCTTCCCAACAGAAAAAGCAAGGACCTCTCCCTAAGCCTTAGTTCTTTCAGGGCAGAGGGATGTTTTGTGTCCAAACTAGAAGGCTGTTCCTCCAACAGGGCAAAACCTTCTGATGAACAACTGCACAGAGGAAAGAATTCTGCAGTTGTAAAACCTAGGATAGTTTTCATTCTTCAGGAAGTACCCTTCATCAAGGTCATTTCTGCTTTGGTTAACTTAAGTCAGGTCTGAGGATTTTATTTAATGAAGAGTGGAGTTTAAGTTTGCATACAAAGGACATTAAATGTGTTAGCCATTCAGATTAATTGATGTATTTCACTCCTCTCAGTATATTGTTTCCAGCCAGTTGATTCTTTTCATTGCAGGGTTTCATGCTTTGATTACCAATGGACAAACGTCTTGAAGAGAGTTATCGCATTGTGATGAACTAAATTCCAAGAAGTCCCATGTTTAAACTTATTATCTTGATGTCAGTACTCTGGCTTCTACCTTTTACCTGACCCTTTTCCAAACTATGTTCTCTTCCATTTTTCACATTGCTTAAAAACATCCTCAAACCTATGAAATTTCCGGGGTCAATGATGGCTCTGAAATGGGAGACAGGACAAAATTCCCAGATCCTACCAAAGATATATGCAAACACCACAATATGCACAATATGCAATACATATTTAATTACATTTAATATACGGACCATTTTAATAAAACTCAGGGAACAAATGGTGCTGACAGGCAAAGACATTCCTTTCCTGGAAGGAAAATCTCCTTCCATAAAGCCAAGACCTTGTCCTTAGGATAGGGTAGAGGCAGTAAGAAATCTAGGTGTGTGGTGAAAAATCTGTGACATGCCATGGGGATCTGTTTCTGAAATGATACTAAACTGAATTAACTCCTATTACTTTTCTTTTCTTATGTATCTTTAAATTAGCATGCACTCCGCTAAAGCTTCCACTTAAGGATGTGGTTGACTCTTCAATATATGGGAAATATTGATCATCAAGGATGATAAGCTTTTATTCCTGTACTAAGAAGACTAAATTGTTAGAGAAATCCCTGATTGTCAATAAATGGATGCTGCCTAGGAATAAGGCTCACCTTCCCTATGTTTAAGTAGCTACCATCTTGGATAAGAATTTTGGTCCTATGCCAGGATCTGCCACAAATACTTTTACCCACTCCCAAGTCCAATTTGTCCTTCTGTTTCATGTCTAAACTGCAAAATCATAAAAGAAGTCTGGTGATGGGCTTTTAAAACAATAGAATCCCCTAGAAGAGATTATAAGTACAACTCATCAGGAGATCATTACCTTTAAAGACAAGACCCATTGCAAAGAGCCTTCAATTAATAAAATCTATCAAGATAAATTTCAGATTTATTATTTTCCTTCCTTCTCCTCACTCTCCTTCTGTACTCCTTTCCTTTCTTCCTATTTCTCTTCCTTACTCCCTTTCTTTCTAGTTCTTCCTCCCTTCCTTCTTTCTTCCCTTCCTTCCTTTTCTGATTTGCAGTTATGAAGCTTCCTGTTTTACATCACATAGCAGCCATTTTCCAGGTTCTAAGACTTGGTGAGGTACCATATTTGGCTCTGCTGCAATACATTCCATTATGACCTCAATAACAATCCTATGTCTTCTCACTAATGAGCCATTTCCAATGCCTATTAGTCTAAGTAAAAGCAACGGTTGGTTTCCTGACAAAGATAGCTACACACGGGGAGCTCTCTCTGTAAGGCTTTTCCTAAGAAAATCCTTCTGGTGTGGAGGTGATGTCAAGTTTTGTGGCACATATATAGTTTTTGCCTAAATGATTACAAGTTTCTCAACTCCTCTGGTTGAGAACTAACTCATATTTCAGTGTTAACAATGTCTCTTGTATATGTAAAAGTAAACATATCTCCCACTGTATCTTTTTCAGGAGACTAGAAGCCAGAGTAAGTAGGAAAGATGGAATACAGTGCTGTTACTAGTGGCCTGGTGTAGGATAAGGATGGAGTACTATCAACAGCAGTGCTACAAACACCATCTGTGGATGAGAAGGGAGATGACATGGGCAATCAATTCAAGTCTCAGCCCAGAACACCAGGACAGGGTTGCAAAGGAGCACAAGGAATAGATGTCCCCTTTGTTATGGCCAAGGCTTTGTACTGGGGCTGTCACAGTATTTCTACCACATGAGTAGGGACCTGGGTATCTGTACTTCTCTTGCCTTGCTCACAGCTCACTATATTTTATCTGAAATATGGAAAAATCTCTGCTCAGGGAAATCCATGGGAGCAAATGCAGTGTTAACTAAAGATTGGAGAGGGGGCAAAACAGGGCTGCTAAGGATCTCCGCGTGGCTCAGCATCCTTTCACTAGGACTTAACCCTCGGAGACCTTCCCACTTCTGGGGATTTGCTCCATACCTGCTATTCCTGCGGCAGAGCAGAACCAAGTCTGCAAAAAGCTGGGAAACACATGAATCCTTCAGACTCACTCATGAAACAAGAGTGAAATCAGAAACTTCTGTCCTAGGTCACCTCATCCGCATCACTGATTCTTTCTACTGTTTGCTCACCCCATCAATAGTAGGCACTTTCATTGACAGTGATAATCTGAGTGACTCTGGACTGGGTTCTGATGGCTGGACTGGGAGGAAGATGAGGTTCTGCCCATAGGTGGGGTACAGCTTGGTCTGAAATACACGCTGAGGTCCAGAGACAGCCATGGATGAGGGAGCAGCTCTGCTCCTTGCCTCCTTCCCCTCCCATGGCCCCCAACACCTCATCACAGCCGCATCTCAAGATTACAATGAGGGACAGTATCTACAGCACAATGAGTCTATGTACACTTGGCCCATTCCCTCGGCATGCTTTAGAGAGAGGCTCACACGCCCACACACGTACACCCACATTGAGAGAGAGAGAGAGAGAGACAGCACGCACGCACAGTGGAGAGATTTAAAATGGCACTTTCTAGCATCTGCGGCATGACGAGTGCTGGAAGGTGGGGGTTAGGGGGTGGGAGTGAAGGGAGGCGACCAAGATGAGGATAAAGAGCAGATATCCCCCACGGATGCGGGGGAGATCGAACACGGAGATGGTCTTAAAAGTTGGAGGGAGGGTGGAGGCAGGAAAGCCAGATAAAGGGTCAGGGTAGGACTCCAGCATGGATTCCATTGATAGTCTGAATGGCTATGTGTCAGCTCAAATTAAAAAACAGAATAAAATGATGTTGGAAGTATAAACACCAAGGCAAGACCCTATTTTTTTCTTTCCCCGCAGACAAAAAAGGATGAAGGAAGGATAAAGTGTGTGTGTGTGTGTGTGTGTGTGTGTGTGCATGTGGTGGGGGGTTAATACCCATCTGGTACTTCTTCACTTGTCATTTTTTTATAACATCGAAACTCCTTACATGATGGAGTCTTTACACAGTCTACATTTGCTTAGATACACACATTTCTTGGTAGAACTTTTCCCACCTGGAATTATACTTAAATTTTTATTGATGGACTTTAAAATTGTTTTAAATGTATTTTCTTCTTCATTTTCTTATTTTCCCCTTCATTTATAAACACACAAAGATGTGAAAGAAACAGTCTCCCCCCATTTCGCTCTCTCTCTCTGTATCCTGTGTAATGCATTTTTGTGTGTTTTTTTTAAATTATTTTTAAACTTTTATTCTATTAACATTTGCTGAGAAGGCAGAGCAGAGATGCTGCCAGCAGCCACAGTGGTACGGCCAGACTGATGGATCCATTTATTCCTCTCACCGACCCAGGTCCTGCAGTGCAAAAGAGAGAAAAGAAAGTAATTAATACATCCCTCGGTCCACTCTATGTCACAACTGACAGCTCTTTATCTCAAAGGTAAAAGCTCTTTATCTCTTTATCTCATGGCCCAAAACTGGGCCATGTGCCAGCATCTCAAAGTCAGGGAGGGCACTTATATATAGTCTAAGAAGGACTCACCATCTTTTCTAAATCCTTCTGGTTGAGCTATAAGTATCTTAAGGGGTGTCTTTTGTGATGCTGGATCAGTCTCCTCTCCGCCCAAGTCTATCCTGCACTCTCTGCTCTGCAGAGCAGTAGGATGTCAGCACCCATCGAGATTCCAAGCATTGCTGAGGGTCCTTCAGCAGCCAGACCCGGGCTCCTCCAGCTGACTCACCACAGCATCTCCATCAATAAAACAGGGAACCAGGCTGTGACGCTCTCTTCTCAAGGGGCGGGGGAGGGGTGGTGGTGCTAGCAGTAGCTATTTATTTGTTAATGGGGAGAGGAATTGTTTTAAACTAACGTTTTTTGGCTGGGTGGCACCTTAGCTGCAAGGCAGAAAATAAGTCAACTCATGGTGGGATTTTAAGCAGCAGCAGGGGGTCATCTGGTCCAAACCCTTCATTTGACACTTTAAAAACTAATGATGACAACAAAAACAAACAAACCTAGCCAGGCAGGTCCAAACTGGAGCAGAGCTGAGACCTGCACTTGCCCAGAATTCATCCTGGAGGGGCTATCTGTGGGTTTCCCACTGCCAACCTGAGTTTTCCCAATATAGACAGAATTTGGGGGATGTGGGTGTGCAAATGGAGAAGAGAGTGGGTAAGGGATTTGTGTATTTACACAGAAAGAATTGAGGCAGTGCGTGGAGGTCTAGAGCTTGCCTCCTATGCTTTGCTTGTTGCATTTTCTCCTGTTGTATAATTCTGTTCGTTTAGATTCATTACAAGAGGAAAACAATTTTTCACAACAGACACTTTTGGATTTAAGACTGTATGCTTAGACATGACATTCAAAAGGAAAAAATGGTGTCATTGTAACTATGGGTCACTTGGAAGTTTTGAGGGCACTTAAGGAGATCAGTAGGTGTGAATGAGTGTGTATGTGAGTGTGGGTGTTTGTACTTGTGCAAGTGCAATGGAGACATCCTCTGGCATGTGAACGTTTCCAAAATTGTCTACAAACATACCAGGTCCGATATAAAATAACTGGGAAAATGTTGAATATAAAAATATTCTCCCATCTATGTTTCACATATCAATAAAAATAATATTATAGGAACAACAGCAACCAAAGACAACCAAGAAATGACTACATAACTACAAGTCCTGTTAAAAATGCTTCACAAATATAAGCACACAACCATGTTACAAGGCAGGTCCTCTAGTGAACCCTGCTTTCCAGGGAGATAAGGGAGCCACAGAAAGGTTAAGTTCACCACAGAGTTTACCCAGTAAGCAGAGAGCTGGGCTTTCCCCGGAGTCTGTGCCTGCCACTGCTGCACAGTGCGGTTATGTAGTGAAGCGGTGCCCTGAGTCTCCTGCCAAACGTTTGGCAAATGAAGCCTGGGTTTGTTGAGAACAGTAGCCCAGAACCAACAAAGCAACAGGAAGGTATCCATTATCTTTGAAAAAATTATTTTCAACAGATCTTTTTTTTTTTAACTGAAATGTCTTATTGAGAATATTAAAAATGCTACTTAATATATAATCTATATATAAAGTTTGAATAGCATAGTTACAGTATAAAATGAGTGTTTGAGTGTTGTTATGTGTTGAGCTATGGAAACACAGAATAAACGATTTAAATATCCAGTCAATTCTTTAAGTTTTCTGAATGACTGTAAGATTATATTAATAAGACACTGTAGCTATTTTCAGGTTCATGCCTTACACGAGGAATTAAGGTTCAAAAAGATTATGCATTCTGCATAAAGCACCTGATTAGTAATGGTGACCAGGCACTAGAATCCAGTTTTTCCTAATTCACCGCCCCCCCCACACACCGTTCTTTTT